AAAAAAAAAAAAAAAACCTTAGTAAGTCCCCCCCCCAAAAAAAGTGTAATCCCATCACAAATATGAAATATCTGTGTAATTGGAAAAACTTTAAAATTCTAAAAAATAAAAAATTGAATTGAAAAATAGAATGATTACTCTATTCTTTTTATATCAGTGTTAAAATTATTTATCAAATTAACTCTTTGTCACAAAAATATCACCTAGGATTTCCTATTGCTACTAAAGCTATTCCACCTATCTATTCCATAACTCATGAATAGTTCAATACTTGTGACCTAGTGTCAAGTATTTTCTCTATTTCTTAATCCTCATTCTTCATTCTTCTAATGCCATTGGATTCAGTTGCCACCACTGAATGTAGTCTTCATTCTTCTAATGCCATTGGATTCAGTTGCCACCACTTTGAAAGCTCCTCCTTCAAGGAGAGCGGAAAGTATTCCATGACCATCTTACTCAAAGAAATCTCACTACTTCATTCTGATTTTCCATATGCCCTCCCTTTGCCTTAGAATATTTTTTTATTGAATATTCTATCTCCTCTTTTTCCACTGTGAAGAGTCTTCATATCTCCAGGTTCCTAGAAGGAAAAGCTGAAGAAATACAGTCATAGGATAGATGGACATTTTAAAAAAATAATTTATTCTCCTTCTTTCAACTGTGTATTTCCATGGCTCTAATTCTTGTATGAAATTTTGACCATGGTTTCTAGTAAGAGTGGAAAACTTAAAATGCCATTCAGTACAGTATTTTGTTTCATTATGAATTTATTTGATAATATTGTCCTTCTGTCAACAAATTATTCCTATCAAAATGTGGGACATGTACATTGTTTTTTCAAATTGATACTTACTGTAGTCCAACTGACCTGTTGACCTAGGTCTGTAAAATAGAGAGTGACAATGGAGGAAGCTGCAATGCTTTGAATGGTTATGTAGTCCTTCAAAAAAGGCCCACCTTAAATAATAAGGAAAAGTATTTTAATACAATTTCAAGGCATCGTGATTTTTAACAAACAATTTTAATGTGAAAAATTGTGAATGCTAAGAATAAATCATACATAGAAACTGCAATGTATAATAAATATTTAAAGTAAAATAAAATGTAAGTGAACCCATTTTATAAAATACCTAAGAATTTTTCAAATATATGGTAGTTTCCCACCTCTACCTAAACAAAGTGCAGACTACCACTAGTTACTATCCTGTTGTGTTCTGAGAAAATGTAATACTGGATAATATCATAACCGAGTATGATACAGGATATTTTTAAAGTATAATTTTTTGGGGGGAGGGCACCTGGGTGGCTCAGTCAGTTAAGTGTCTGCCTTCAGCTCAGGTCATGATCTCAGGGTCCTGTGACTGAGTCCTGTGTTGGGCTCCCTGCTCATTGGGGAGCCTTCTTGTCCCTCTCTCTCTGCCACTCCCCATGCTCATGCTCTCTCTCTAAAATAAATAAATAAAATCTTTTAAAAAAGTATAATTTGGGGTGTCAGTAGACATAGATGTCAACTGTTCTCTAAATTCTTTTATTATTTGATAAATTAATTAGGGCAAATAAATTTTAGTAGTCATCACAAGCACCAGCAGAGTGACTTGATGTATGTTTTAAAAGATCTCTATGGATGCTGTGTGGAAACTGGGAGGAAGGGGGAGCAAGATTACTTAGGATGAACTCAAAATTCATCAAGCAAGGGATTTTTTGGATTAAGATGGCACTGGTAGAAATGTTAAAAGTTCATCAATTTCAGATATGTTTTGAACATAGAGCAGGTTCAACTTGAGAAGAGAGTATTTCAGTGAAATAAAGACAGCTCTTAGATTTTTGACCTGGGCAATTAGGAGCATTGTAATTTCATTAACTGGCAGGAGGAAGACTGGGGAAGGAGCAGGATTTGGGGGTGGAAATTAAGATTTAAGTTAAGGTATGTTAAGTGTGTGATATTTATTAGGCATTCAAGTAGGAGCTGTCAAATAGGCAGTTGGTTAGGTGTGTCTGTAGATATTTGAAAGTCATTAACGTTTAAAGCCACGCTGTGTGATGAGATTATTTGAGTGTTCAGTTTGAAAAGAAAATGGAAACTGAAAAAAGTTTCTAGCACTACGGGCTTTCAAAGTAATAAAAGAAACATACTACAAAGATTACTGAAAAGGAGTTTCTCATGAAATTGGAGAAGAATAAACTGATGTCTTAGAGGACATGTAAAGGAAATGTTCCATTCTTAATAATAAACACTAGATAAGTCTGACATGTGTGTACTGAAATATATGTACAAAGATGTTCTTTTTAGCATTATTTATAATTGTAAAACAATTGTAAAAAGTTAAATCTTCATAAATGAGATAATGCTAAATATATCTTGTTTTATTCAAACAAAGTTATACCATACAGAAAGAAAAATAAGTGGACTAGGGCTAAATGAATCTCATAAGTATAATGTTATTTTTATTGCCATTGTAGTTGCTTGTATTGATATTATTCTTTATGCTAATCTATCTATAATTTATCTTTATTTTTTTCTCATGAAAAAGTGTCATTTCATTCTCTATTTTTTAAAGATTTTATTTATTTTTTTGAAACAGAGAGAGAGTGCATGAGCATGAGGGAGGGAGGGAAAGGGAGAAGCAGGCTCCCCACTGAGCAGGGAACAAAAAGTCAAAGTGGGGACCCTTCCAGGACTGTGGAATCATGACCTGAGCTGAGGGCAGATGCTTAACCAACTGAGCCACCTAGGAGTCCTCCATTCTCTATTTTTCCAAAACACATTAAATATTAATTTATGACTATTTTTAGTTGATTTTCAGAATCCAATACATTGATTTACAATGAAATATTTTAAAGTAAGATAAAATGTGCAGTTGTTATATATTAATTTTGAAGATGGTATTTGATAAAGCCAATGTGAATATGGTAAGCTATCATTCCCTTGATTAGGTTAGGCTATGTGGCTTTATAAGAGAGATTATTCAGTTGGGTCTGAGCTAATCATGTACTATTTAAATCTGCAGGAATTGGTAAGCCAGAGGAATTCAGATTCAAAGTACTAGAATACTGATACTACAGTACGAGAATGATTGCTGGGATGAAGATGGAGAGGGCGACATGGCAAATAATGCAAATAGCCTCTAGGAGCTGAAATGGCCTCTAGAATGTGACAAGGAGCAAGGAAATAGGAACCTCTGTCATAGAACCACAAAAAAAAAAAAAAAAAAAAACTTCAGACAATAAGAATAAAGACAGAAGTAGAATTTTCTAAAAGTGTTGAGATGAGAATTCAGCTCCACCAACACCTTGATTACAGCTTTGTGATACTCTGAGCAAAGAATCTGGCCATACTGTGTCTTCAAGCTAATAAATGAGTGTTATTTTAAGCTTAGTTTGTGGTCATTTGTTACACAGCAATAGGAAGTTAATGTAACATGGGTCAAGGTAAAGACTTGGATATACAAATGGCCAAAATCATTTTGACAATCATGTATAACAACAAGAAATGTTAATAAGAACAAAATAATCTGAGATATTTGTACCACTTGAAGTACTGTAAACATCTTCCCAACATACATCTATTGACATCTTTGGAGAGGGGATTAGTTTCTACTCCTCTATTACTTTTGATGACTTCAAGGAGCAGACCATTGGCATATTTTTAAAATGTGGTCCCATCAATATGAGATTTGCATAGAAGGAACTGAGAGAATCCAGGCATATCATTAATCATACCACTCAGACTCAGTAATCAGGGAACCCTGTCCTTGGCTTTCTATGCCTATGTCCTTTTCCAAAGGGAGAGGAATGGGTAGGGCCAAGAATATATTCCTAAAACAAGAGTCAATTCCATGGATATCAGGCTTCAGCCACTTAAGGCCTGTGAATTTTCTGCCCAAATTAATTTAAACAAATCTTCTTTCTTGGGCATTTCTTCCCCAAAATTGTGCCAGACACTAGGGTATGTACCTAGGGGTTTGTCAAGGCCCTTTTATAAGTGCTATGGATGATTAGAGCCAGGGCTGGGAAGGAAAGGACCAAGTCTACTCATGCTTCACCTTTCTATTTTAGAAATCCAATGATTTTAAGCATTAGAAATTCAACTCTGTGCTTCCAGAACATTATTAAGTATCTTAATCAAGGTAGGAGGAGAGAACACATTTTAGTTACCAGTTTCTATGACAGATGTATTACAATTGTGACTTCAGTTCTTTACCATTCCCATATCCACACCATTTACAATATGACTTTTAGTACCTCTTATAAGAGTCGGTGCCTATTTTCCTGTGCCCTTGAATATGGGTTAGCCTAGTCATTCACTTTAGCTAACAGAATGTAGGGCAAGAAATATGATACTTCCAAGCCTGGGCCTTAAGAAATCTTTTTTTTTTTTTTTAAGATTTTATTTATTTATTTGACAGAGACAGAGATAGTGAGCAGGAACACAAGCAGTGGGAGTGGGAGAGGGAGAAGCAAGCTTCCCCTCGAGGAGGGAGCCCAATGTGGGACTCGATCCCAGGACCCTGGGATCATGACCTGAGCCAAAGGCAGATGCTTAATGACTGAGACACCCAGGCACCCAAGGGCCTTAAGAAATCTTAAGTGCTTGTGCTCATTTGTTTGAATCCCTGAATCCACCATGAGAACAAGCCCCAAATATTCTGCTGAAACATGAGAAACCACAAAGAGTAGAGAGGATTGGCTATAGTCATGGCCATCCTAGACCAGCCAGTCACTAAAAACCCACCAGCTGACTGCAGCTACTTGAGTGGACCCACCCAAGTAAGGCTAAGTCTAGCTCAGCTCAGCATAACCACTGAGCTAAAAAAAAAAAAAAATAGTCTGTTAATTTGCCTATGATTATCAATGTTTGCTATTTTCTTTATGTTTTACTGATGTCTTTTGTGTGAAGAAAATGTAGAAGACTAAATCTGCATGATGTCATTGCTCATAGTATAAGCATTCTGGCAGGAAATATTTGTAAATATTTAGGCCTTGATTTGTTTCAGTGTTAAGTTTTCTTAATATGAATAGTTATAACATCAGTTATAACAGATGAAGCATCTACCATGTGTCAGTAATTATAGTGCTTTATAAACATGATCTTATTTGACACTTATAAAACAAAAACCAAATCATGGGTTAAATTCTTTATTAGCTCCACTTTAGGAAAGAAGACCCTATAGATAGGTAAGCAGAAGAGTCAGGTTTTAAAATTCTGTTTTACTCCAAACAACCTCTTTGTACCACATCCTGCTTAGCTCGCTAAAATAATTGAGTCTTTTTTTTTTTTTTCAAATAAGTCATCACATTCTTATTCAAGGGCACTCAGTGGCTATATTTCATTCAGTTCATACCCTGTAAATGTATGTGAAGGGAAACCAAATAAATATATGTGAGGAGAAAGTAAAAAGTCACATTCACCAGGAAGGCTGAGCTAATAGAAATTCCCTGTTTCCCCTTGTAGTGTTCTTCAAATTGAATTATATTTTATATTGATGCCTGTGGCATTCTAGAGTCTTCATTATATAAAAGTCAAGTTCAGAAAACAATACCACTATATAATTTTATGTTATTTGAGCATCCATGTGTTGAAAGGCATTTATATGGTTGGCATATACAAGGCCCTGAAGAGGCAAAAATAAACAAGAGAGTGAGTCTTCTCTTTTAAACTCTAGCCAGATAGGAATTTTTCTTGAACATTTGAGCTTGGAAGAATTTGAAATCATTAAGAAAGTATGACTTCCAAGAATATCATGGATTCCTATTTTTTCAGCATAAAGGTCTCAGAGAAACCTGGGATGTCTAAGAAACAATGAAAACAAACAAAACACCTTAGAGAGATGCAAGGAAATCATCATTTGTCCTTAAGTAAAGGTAATATCTGAGAAAGGATGGCCTGAATATTAGCAAAAGTACCAGGGGAAAAAAAAAAGGGCAGTTCACCACTCTATGGAAAAATTTAGAGATTGAAATTCCTTAATAGATGCCTCTTGTAGATTTACTATTATTGACTTAAAGTATTCTTCCAAAATTTATATTCTACCCACAGCTCTTATTTAACACGTCCAAATTTAAGGTCAAGTTGATGTAATATTAGTGACAATGATTATTAGCAGGAGTAACTTTTAAGTGTATCTATTTATAAATGTTTTGAATGAAGAATAGGATTTGACAGTTTGAGAAATTTCAGGCTTAATCCCGGATATTATATTTTCCCTAAAATTCATTCATTTCTCCCCTCCTTAGTTCATTTATTCTGCTTTAAACAGAAAAGAAGAAAGAAAGAGAAAGAAAGGAAGAAAGAAGAAAAGAAAGAAAGAAGAAAGAAAGAAAGAAAGAAAGAAAGAAAGAAAGAAAGAAAGAAAGAAAGAAGAAAGAAAGAAAGAAAGAAAGAAAGAAGAAAGAAAGAAAGAAAGAAAGAAAGAAAGAAGAAAAGAGAGGAAGGAAGGAAGAGAGGGAGGGAAAGAAAGGAAAGAAAGAAGGAAAGAAGGAGGGAAGGAAGGAAGGAAAGAGGGAAGGAAGAAAAAAAAATATTGAGCTGTATCCCTGAGAACATATTAGGTGATAGTAGAATGAGAGAATAAAGCAGTAAAACTTTTAGAAACAGAAAGATGTTAGTTCAGATCCTGCCTCCAATGCAAATTACAGTGGATGTGTGAAAATTATCTTTAGACTAGAATTCCTCATGCAAAAAGTGAAGCACTAGCTTATGGGGAGAATCAACCGACATAACTGATCTAGACCACTTACTATAATGTTTGTCATTTAGTAAGTGATAAATAAATATTAACTATTGATGAAAGAAAAGGGATTCCAAATTAAATAAATAGATCAGTGAAAATTTATTCTTACCTCGTTCTAGCTGCAGGCCAACTCGGGAAGGATACCACTTTGGACCTATTCCATGAAAAATAAAGCATTTAATTGTCAGCACAAGTATACACACATTTTAAAATCTAATAGTTTCTTCAGGTAGATTCCTAGTAATGCAATTGCTGGATCATAAAGTAATTCTACTTTAAATTTTTTGAGGAGCCTCCATACTGTTTTCCAGAGTGACTGCACCACTTTTCATTCCCAACAGTGTAAGAGGGTTCTCCTTTCTCTACAACCTTACCAACACCTGTTGTTTCTTGTCTTGTGAATTCTAGCCATTCTGACTGGTATCAGGTGATATCTCATTGTAGTTTTGATTTGTATTTCCCTGATGATGAGTGATGTTGAGCATCTTTTCATGTGTTTGTGGGCCATCTGGATGTCTTCTTTGGAAAAATGTCTATTCACATCTTCTGTCCATTTTTAATTGGATTAGTCATTTTTTAGGTGTTGAGTTTTATAAGTTCTTTATATATTTTGGATACTAACCCTTTACCAGAAATTATCATTTGCAAATATCTTCTCCCATTCTGAAGACTGCCTTTTAGTTTTGTTGATTGTTTCCTTTGCTGTTCAGAAGCTTCGTAGCTTGATGAAGTCCCAACAGTTCATTTTTGCTTTTGTTTCCTTTGCGTCAGGAGACATATCTAGTAAGAAGGTACTGTGGTCAATGTCAAAGATGTTACTGCCTGTGTTCTTCTCTAGGATTTTTATGGTTTTGGATCTCACATTTAGGTCTTTAACCCTATGATCCAGCAATTGCACTACTAGGTATTTACCAAAGAATACAAAAATACTAACTCAAAGGGATACATGCACTTCAATGTTATAGCATTATCTACAATAGCCAAATTATGGGAACAGCCCAAGTGTCTTTAACTGATGAATAAATAAGGAAGAAGTAGTATAGATGCACAATGGAATATTACTCAGCCACAAAAAAGAATGAAATCTTGCTGTTTGCAATAATGTGGTTGGAGCTAAAGCGTAGCACATTAAGTGAAATAGTCAGAGAAAGACAAATACCATATCATTTCACTCCTATGTGGAATTTAAGAAACAAAACAAACTATCATAGGGGAAAAAGAGGAAGAGGCAAGCCAAGAACAGACTCTAAACTACAGAGAATAAACCAATGGTTACCAGAGGGGAGGTGGGTGAAGGGATTGGTTAAATAGGTGATGGGGATTAAGAGTGCACTTGTGATGAGTAACAGGTGTTGTATGTAAGCATTGAATCACTAAATTGTACACCTGAAACCAATATTACACTGTATGTTAACTAACTGTAATTTAAATAAAACAAATGAAAAATCCGATTAAAAAATGGGCAGAATACATGAATAGACATTTCCCTCCCCACCCCAAGTAATCTAATAGTTTCTGTTGGAAGACAGATTCGATCTTAGGAAGTGGATAAAGTACTTATCCAGTGTCATAAATGGAGATAGATCTTGGCAGTGTGCTGATGAGCAGTGGTTGATAGTTATGATGAGAGCTTTAGGGTGGTAATTTTCTGTTTTTTAATCTGGGGTCTGGCTACATATATGTGTTCAGTCTGTGGACATGTACCAAGGTATATGACATAGGACTTGTGCACTTTATGTAAGTTATTTTTCAATAAAATGCTTAACCATCTTCATTTAAAACCAAAGAACATCGATCTTATTATTATTTTTTTTAATATTGACACCTGAAAGTGGATTATTTTCTTTACCAGGAGTAAAGCACACAATTCATATTGGAATAATATGTATTATCGACTTTTAATAATTATAAACCTATTGATCATAGCAGACCATCAATTTAGTATCTTTCCCTTATACTACCATTAGGAATAAATACATAGTTTACTAAAGAATTCTACCTGGATAAGGAAATCAAAATGCATTTACCATATACAGCCATAATAGAAAAATTGGTTCACAAAATAGAGCTACCCTATGACCCAGCAATTATACTACTGGGTATTTACCCCAAAGACACAGATGTAGTGAAAAGAAGGGCCACACGCACCCCAATGTTCATAGCAGCAATGTCCACAATAGCCAAACTGTGGAAAGGCCAAGATGCCCTTCAACAGATGAATGGATAAAGAAGATGTAGTCCATATATACAATGGAATATTACTCAGCCATCAGAAAGCATGAATACCCAACTTTTACATCAACATGCATGGGACTGGAAGAGATTATGCTAAGTGAAATAAGTGAAGCAGAGAAAGCCAATTATCATATGGTTTCACTTATTTGTGGAACATAAGGAATAGCATGGAGGACATTAGGAGAAGGAAGGGAAAAATGG